CTAGTGGCAGGACCAGAGGCAGTGGGCACAAACTGAAACACGGGAGGTTCCCTCTGAACATCGGGAAACACTTTTTACTGTGAGGGTGACTGAGCACTGGCACAGGTTGCCCAGAGAGGTTGTGGAGTTTCCATCCTTGGAGACATTCCAAAGCTGTCTGGACATGGTCCTGGGCAACTGGCTCTAGGTAGCCCTGCTTGAGTGGGGGGGGGGTTGAACCAGATGACTTCCAGAGGTGCCTTCCAACCTTCAACCCTTTGTGATTTCTAAAAGTATATACTAAAGAAAATTGTCTTAAGTTACTCAAATGTAGTGCTGGAAGAGAAGACCAGTCTAGTAGTATTTAAATGTAGCGATACTTTGATCTGAAGGTCTGCAATGACCTTGAAGACTTGTGTTTTTCTTACCTTTCAGAAGAGTTTGTCAATTATTTGACTTGTAATGAGCTTTTTAAAGCGTAACTGATGGTGTCTTAAGCAGAGCAGTAGAAAAGCTGCTAGCAATAAGACACAAAAATTACAGCCTTATTGTCCATAATACATTCACAAATTTATTTTTTAAAGGAGCATTAGTTAATCTTATTATTTTGTATTGCTTGCAGAGTTACGAATCTGTTTTTGAATAGGAAACACTTAAAAGCTGGCAAAGAGAATAAAGAACGCCTGTAAGACTGGTTTCACAATTTTGTTTTAATATTTTACACTACTTGAGCTACCAGTCCTAAGGCTCTTGACTTAAAGTTGAATGTATTTACGTTACAATTATAATATTGTAATGTAAAGCCCGTTCTAGAGAAGCAGTTCTTCGGTAAGTTCCTGTTGGTGATGAAGGCTGGGATTGCCTTCACCAGTTCTCAGAATGTAGCCTGCTGCCTGTATTTATCAGATGGGGCGGTGAGTCACAATCTTCTGTACCATCCAAATAGTTCCTGATGTTAATGGTGTATAGGTTAAATGTGACTACCTTTTCTTTATGTTCGAGGGTTATTTTCCAGCCCAGTTATTAGCATTCTCTGGAAAGACTGAAATGCTTTGTATGTACAGCAAACAACGTGATGATTATCGAAGTATCATAAATATGTGAATGCAAATGAGAGCTTTGATTCATTTTGATTACTGTATCTGAGGTTCTCGATCTACTCTTAAGGCTTCAGTATTTTTTCCTGTACTGATACACTGTCTGAGGGATGCTACATCCTGTCGAGCCCTGAGCTCCACACGCCATGGTCTTGTGAGAAGGGTGTGCCCAGACTGTTACCAACATCATCTTCACTGCCTCCTCGCGCTTCTTTTACGAATTCATACAGCATACGCTCAGCCACGTCTTGTATCGAGCCTGTTCTGTGACTTGGTCACACTATCAACTGTGATGGTAACCAAAGTCTTACCTGAACGTGAGTTTGGCTACCTGAAGTTATCGGTGAAGCTAAAGAAGTTCCAACATCCCTAAAGCAGTTGCAGTTACACCTCTCTGCAGGTGTAACTTGTGTGTAGGGTGGGGTGTTGGAAGTTGGTGTCTGTATGATGTACACTTACACCCCTATAACTGCAACTGGATTTGCACTAGTGAAGGTGTTCTAGAAAATTCTCAGCGACTAAACCAGCTAAACTAGTGAAGTTTTCAGTGCAAACAAGATACAGTGGATTCATATCAGCTGAAATGTGAAGAAAAATCAGTGGATAAAAGAGAGAATCAGTGAATTGGGGACTGTGTAGCTATTGTATACAAAAAGGCATGGAGAAATAGCATGGAAGGAGAGGAGCAGAGTATGAGGAGTACTGCTTGCAAGCCACAGAAAATATAGAAGGTTTTTGGTTAACTTTAGGAGCAATTGCTAATGAAGTGAGGAATTAATATGAAGAAGAAGCAGCTGAGTGTTTGGGTTTGAAAGAACAGGGGATATAAGTGTCTGGAGTGATCAGTAGCAAAGGAAAGGCTCAAGATTAGATAGAAATATGAAAGGTAGTTTTGAGACAGAACATCAATGATATTTTGACAGTAGAATGAAGTACTTTTGTCACATGTTAAAAATCTCTTGATGAAGGAGCAAGTTTATTTTCTCTGATGAAAACAGCAGATAGCGTTTTTCTGTAACTTTATGGCATAAAGGGAAGCTTAGAAAACTCACAGCTTCTCACAAGTAGTGTACTGTCTGCATTGCCACTGCAGCATTCCCATGCTTGGAAAAAAGATGAGAAAATAGTTTCCCAATACATATTTTGAAAGCTGTCTGAACGGTAGCAGAAGCGAAGGACAAAACATTGCTGTGTATGAGATATCAATAGAGCCACTCAAATATCTTTTTTTCCATGATCCCTGAAAATGGCTTGCTTATGTATGTAGTCAGATTTCTTAACTTGTTAACAGCTGGTACAGCCAAAAGTTGACAGACCTTGGAAGAGACCTGTCAGCACAGTGTTTGAAGACTCATACATACCATGAAGAGCAAGTCTGCACTTTTATGTGTTCCATTTTTAAAGTCGCTTTGGCCACAAGTAACTTCGGTGTATGATGAGCTTCAGTGAAGGCTGGTTATGGGTCCTAACAAAAGCGCTGGTGGTGAGGAAATACTGTTCTCTGTTTTGCTCCCAGCAGCTATGTAGCTGTTCCTACGAGGAATCACACTCAGATTACCCAGCTCTTTATTTCTAGACAGCCTCTAAAAACACAGTTGGTTTTTATGTCACATACTGTTCTCTGAAATCAGCAGCCCTAAATTCAGTAGAAGCCAAGGCTTTACATGAGTACCGAGGCCATGTGCGGATTAGGAAAGAAAAGTTGCAGTAGAACAGGCTATAACACTTACAGACATCTATAGAATCAAGGAATGAGTTGTATTGGCAAACATACTTTGAATATTTTAGAGTTACTGTATTTTTAACGTTTCTGGGAATGCTGTGATTTTTGCAGATCTGAGTGTTTTGTTGTTTAGTTCTTGTTTACTTGGACTGTATAAACAACTTTGGACAGTTAAATGTGTAGAACTTTTTCCTGTATTTGAAAAACAGAAAACAAAATCAGGCCCTTAAACTCATGAATAATTTGATGACAAATTACCAATTTCTTCAGCAGATAATTTCACCCTTGGTTCTTGAGCGGACTCCTAACTGAAGCCAGTACCTGCTGCTAAAAAAACTTCTTTGTTATCAGTTTAGATACCACTGAGTACTGGAGCAAACAGACGAGAAGTTTTCCGATAACTGTTTGGAAAGCAGGAAGATATGTGTGAATGACAGCAGATTCATTGCTTTTAATTGAATTGGAGATGTCATCGAGTTCAGTTATTCGCAAATACTGTGGTGACCTAAATCAAATCCATGCAACGCCTACCTGAAACTGCCATATAATCTATTCTGAGTTATATTAGAGATTTTGAGACCATCAGCCAGAAAAAAACCTAAACCAAACCAACAGGAGGTCTAAGCATAGGGGACTTGGCTCAGTAAATACATAACTGATAATTGTGATGCTAGATGTGTAAAACAATTATTTAAAAGGATTCAAGGCACTAAAGAAAATTATGTTTTTGAATGATCAAATAATATCAGCACTGGTCTCCTTCAGTTGCTTTTACTTGTCTCTTAAGTTATTTGCGATGTATTTTTTTTTTTTAGTTCCAAGAACGTGAAGCTAACAAATTTATTAGCTTCTGTCAGCATCTCTTTGTTCTTTCCTAGCTTTCTCTTTAAAGATAGTTTCAAAGATGTACTGCGATTGAACTTACCCCTCATCTGATGGAACTGGAATGTGTTCCTTCTGTTCGGAGTTTTTAGTGAATTAATTGTGTCTTCATAACAGAGTTTTCCCAGAGTGGCTGACCAGCCTCCTGCATTTTCTGGGAACCTAGGCCTGTTCCCTGTCGTGATGACATTCCTCTTCAAGGACTACATCAATGATACTGTGTATGTTAAAAGGGCCTTGGGCTGTGTTCAGACCAAATTTCATCTTATGCTTGTTATCTTTTTTGCTTAGAAAAAGTTACTGTATATCAAGCCATTGATATTCTAATACAGCAGTTTTGAGCTGCTCTTGATTTGCCCCTCTCAGTAAAACTCTGAAGTGGGTGTAGGATTCTTTTTTATAGGGAATTATAGCTTAGTGATAGTAAGTTTTCTTTTTTTTTTTAAATTACCCTGCCCATGTCATCACATCTGCAAACTACAGGTGATCTCCCATCAGTAGCTAGATCTCCATAACTGACTCTTCAGCAAGGTTTGAATTCTGTTCTGTTTCTTTGAGAAAAAAAGGTTTCATTACTCTCTGTGTCTTGCCAAGTTAAAAAGTAATTTTTTTACTGTAATTGAATACTGCTTGGATTTTACCTACCTTCGCAAAACTGTGGGAATTCAGACTTTTAATCCACAAATTTGGTTCAAAAAGCAGAAGATAGTAATATGTACTATTTTACTGTATAGGGTGAGTCCCATAGGAAAACACGATAATAGTAATAATGTAATAATGTAATAATAATTTCAGTGTTCCATTTATTTTCTATACAAAGAAATAGAACAGTGCATATTGGAGGGAAATTCTAAGGGAAACAACTATCTTAGTCCTAACAATTAAGAGGAAGTAAATATTATTATTATTATTATTACTCAGAAAAGCTTTATTAATAATTAGAACTACTAAGTAGTTTACTCATTTGAGTATCTGAGAGTTGTTTTTCATAAAGCCTATTTTTATTTTTTGCAAGTACCCTTCTAAACACAAGTCCATAGCTCCTGGCCTGAATCACCCCTTGGAATTACAGTGTTTCTAACTTAGCTGGATCCAGGCTTTATACATCTCATTGTTAAGTCTAGTTCCATAACTTGCATTTCTGAAGTTATAGGCAGATAGATAGTTGTACTGAGAGTTAAATACCAAAAAAAAAAACCCAACCATGGTATTTAACAGTTTTTAATAAGTCACAGAATTTCATTTTAAGACATAATCACTTTTTTGCACCTACTACATGACGTAAACACTGTGAGAGCTTAGTATTACACTTTCATGTCTCAGCTGTTGAAATTTGTTCTCCTGCTTTGCAAAACATTAGCAAATCCATCAAACGCTCTCTTCTTCTTAACAAAAAACTGTCCCTGTCCTACGTTGGTCTGACTTTTTTGACTGAGTTTTTCACTTGAATTTTGGAGGTCGACAGCTGTTGTAGAATTGTTCTCCAGTCCTGTCGAAGTAGTGTCATCCTCTGCCTTGCTGGAATCAGTGCTTTCGGAGATCATATTTCCTGTAGTCTTCCGTGGGAATGAACATGAACTGTATCGTGTGCTTTCGTTGAAGAAGCCTTGTGGGACCGAGAAGGAATATGCATCCTCATCGCTCTGATCCAGTTGGAAACGATCTTCTGTGTTGGAGACTGATTGTGTTTTCCTGGAAGAGTGAAGATGCAGCAAACCTGCATCGGCCATAGCGTTGGAAGACTGCATTTCTTTGGGCAGACTACAGTGGCTGGTATCGTGTGATTCTGTGTATCCATCACAGTCTTTCTCATTAAAACCTTTTTGCATTTTATCTGCACACGCCTTAGTTGTGTTCACCTGCATCCCCTGGGGTAGCAAGTCCTCTTTCTCTGTAATAACGGTAAAATGTGTTTCAGTTGTGTGTTTGGACAGAGGCTGAAGAGACGACTCGTTGCTGGAATGCAGTAGTGGTGCTTTTTTAACAGTTTCATTCAAACAGGTATCAATGGGAGCAAAAATAAAATCGTCGTCCTCGGATGTACTCGTGTCTCTTCTTAATGTAATGTCCCCTTCACCATGATTCTGTTCAGAGGAGTTCCGATCTAGGTGCTCGTCTGTTCTTCCCTCTGGTGCATTTTCTGTTTGTTCAGTGGGGCTGAATCTGAGGGAGTGCTGAGGTTCAATGGGAAACTGGTACAGCTCCAATTCACCCTCTTCAGGAGCGTTCTCTGTGTCCGTGTCGTATGTGGGAGAATGTTTTAATGGAAGTAACATATTACCAAAATCATCAGTTTGTTTGCGGAGAGAATGGGAAAGAGAGTTCTGTACTGTTGACTCTGCATTGGTGAAATGCTCAAATATATCACGAACTTCTTGACTTGAAGAACTAACTGTGTCTGAATCTGACATGCTTTCATGGTGACGACATTTATCAGCATAAGGTGATGCTGTTTCACGCATCATAGTATCTGATTTGAAATTATTAGTGGTTTCAAAATATGCATTGTTTTTGTCTTCATTTTTCCCAGTACGCTGAAGTTCAGCAGCAATGTTTGGAGACTCTGGCAGCGTTGAGATCTTCTCAGTTCTACTGTTCGTATCAGTTTCCTCTAGTAACAACTGACAGACTGGCGAGGTGTCGCTAACACCAGGCTGTTCCAGTTCAAAGTCTGCTAAAGAACTACAGTCACTCATTGTGAATGGAGTCCCTTCATCTGAAGAACTATCACTGAATCGATATGCTGAAGCATCTTTCTCATTTGTACGTTCTGTTGTACAGTCGTACTGTGTAAGAGGAGAGTTTTCTATTGTTTGGTAGACACTTAAATTCTCAGTATTTGTATCTCCCTTGCAGCTACTGGGTAAAATAAAATCTCCCACATCACTGGCTATATTTATGTTGCCTTTTAGACCACGTTCTTCATCACAGCTTTGCTTTTCAGGCATAAACTTTGTAATGCTTGTGGGCTCGCTATGTGAAACAATGCCTTTTCTTTCAGGAGACTCTGGTGTAGCCTTTGTGATTTCAGACTGCAGCAGACCAGAGTTGTTGCTTACCTTGCTGTTCCTAGACTCTTGCGCGACTGTATGTGTTGGTATCGCGGAGAATGGAAAGCCAGTTTCTCCTGTGATGGATAAATCTAAATCTGAATAGTCCATGGGATTTGAGTAAGAGTCGGCATTTAATCTCCTGGGTATGGGAGGGAACCTGCCCTTCTCTGAGTCTTCGTTATTTGCATAATTTGAATCTTCCCATAATGAAATGTCTTTACTCATTAATTTTCTCGGCATTACTTCATTGCTGTTCTTGTAATCTAACCCTACAGAAAATAGTCCATTATCATCAACATTTCTGTTTTCATCATTGCTGATACTAGTTTTGATGTCTGAAAATGCTGGTTTTTTCTTCATGTTGATCTCATTATTGCTTTGTTTCTGGTAGTCTTCAGTATTTGGTGTATGTACACTGCTATCAATGACATTTTCATACAAAATAGAAGTGTCTGTAGGAACAATGCATGTGTTTCTTGAAGGATTCCCACCACAAGTGAACAAATTACTCTGCATGTTTGTTGGTTTGCTTGCAGAGTACTCTCTGCTCAAGGTTTCATCTGAAAAAGCTTGGTTAGAATAAGTATGTTCTGAACCCGAATTTTTGTTCCTGCGCATGAGTCCCCACAGGCTCAGGAGGTAGGGTCTAGCAAAAACACCCAGACAAAAAGCACAAACGAACGTAATGAGCACCGAGAGGCAGACAGCCAGTGCAAGGTCTTGCTTGGTTCTTCCTTGTCTGAAAACAGTGTGAGTGTCCCGGGCTCTTCTAAAGAAAAATGTTGAAACCCTTTCTTTCACCTGTATATTGTAGATGAGATATTTCTTCTTTCTTGTATTAAGAATACACAAATATAACCCTTCAAGACTTTTCTCAGCATTGTATATTACTAAATTATTCATTTTATCCAGTGTCAAATGAGGAAGATTACTATCTTTTGAAATTCTGCCTTTAGGTGTCCACCAAGAGACTCCATTACCTGAAATAAAATGAAATACAAATTAAATCTTAAAAGTACAGGATGCTCGATTTGCATGGTCAAGTTATTTCTATAAGGACATACTCTGACCTAACTTTGATAATTTTAACTATTTATTATGAATTTTTTTTTTTTAATCCATCCATAGTCATTTGACATAGTGCCAAGTATGTTAAACCATCATATATTTCCCCTCCCCATTTAAAATGCAGTCCATATAGAGCATTCATAGCAGACTTTGTAAGACAAACGGTGTGGGTGAGGGAGGAGGTCGCTGAAATTACGTGTGTTGTGGGTCATACTATAAACACCTGCTGATCTCCTTCGTGGAAGATCCATATGTATAGCCAGTTGTTCTCCAGCATGACCGTGGTCACTGTCTGCAGCTCTGAGACAAAACTTCACTTGTTAACTGTCAATGTTTCAACCACTGTGATTTGACTGTAGTTAACTGCTTTGACTGCAGCAAAAAGGGTTGAAAACCAAGGATATTTGCATCTACGGAACGGTTGTTCCAAACTTGAGCCAGTGTAGGCCATGGCTGGTTGTTGGCTCTTGGAGTATGTTTCAAGGTTGTGTGTACACCTTTGCTTTTGGATCTGCTTGTGTTCCCAGACCAGTTTTGGTGCAATCCAGTGTGTTGAATTTAATCCCATGATCAGAGTTTCCGTGACTTTCCTTGTTAATAGATGAAACAGGTGGCGTTTGCAACAGACCCCAGGCATTTTCATTTGGGGATAAAGTGTTCCAAGTGGAAAGCCTTACCACCTCAAAGTGCTATTAGTCCATTAGAGGAGTACTTACGGCACATGACAACTGCACCTTCTACTCTGGTAGTAGAACTACTCTGGTAGTGCCATAAGGACTCCTCTAATGGACTAATTAGACCTAAGAAGGTCTCAGTTTTCCTTCTTTTTCCTTCTGTGTGGGAAGTCTTAGCTCTAGATTTTGTCACGCTTCATGTGCTCTGTGTTTATTGTAAATGCTGAATTCATTTCGTGAAGCGAGCTGTGTGCTACAGTAGCTGTACTTCTTTAGAAAAAACAGAAATCCTTTCTCTTGCAAATAAACTTTCATTCCATTTTGCTGTAACTGAATAGAAACACTGTTGCATCCTCAGTTCTCTATATGCCCCAGAAGTGCCACCTGACTGTTCAGGCCTTTGTTTGCATTCCAAAATTAACTGATAAATTTGCACCGTACTACTTACTGAGATTTATCTGCGCATAATTTGGCATCACTTACCAGTTTAATGTAAGGAAGGAGGTGAAGACTTTTTTTGGAAAACGTGACTTTCAGACGTAACTTTCTAATTAAATAATTTGCATCTTAAATTGTTGTTCAGTTATTTTTGAACAGTATCTTTAGAAATCCACTTTTTAAACTAGATTTGTTTGATCATTCTGCGTGCATTTGGATTTTAGCCGCTATGGATAGAGTCCCTGGTTTACATACCCCTTGTGTTGTCCACGTCACAGTTTAGCACCGACGTCTTCCCTGTTGGGACCACAGTTGTCTTGAGCAAAACACTGTCACTGCAGTTTAAATGGAAACTTGAAAGGTACAGCAGAGGTTTCTGTGAGTCGTTGGCAGATTTATTGTATGAAATACTCAATTTTTCACTCGTAGAGTCAAAAAGAAAATTTTTATATAAATGTTTGAAAGCATTTAGTCTGCAATTAAATATCCAGGCATTATTTGAGAAATCTACTTCAAGTTGAAAGAAGTTCAAAGTAATTAATAACTGTGGTAGAGGGGTTGTCATAGCATTTTCACGGAGATCCACGACCTATTTGGAAATAATTCAGAATTAATTTGATAAGCCTTACAGTGCAATCCTAATTGCAGTATCAACAATAACATTTATTTTAGTGTACAAGCACTTTTGCAGTTATGGGAACAATACATCTGGTTAGGATTTCAAAATATTGTTCTAAGCTTTTTAATTTAAATGAAAAGATTAAATTGCAGTATATTTAGAATTCTCCTGTGGTAGACTACCTCTGTGTGAATGGGAAGCCACAAGGCTCTCGCCATGGAAGGGATCGGGGTAGAAAAGGACGTGTGTGTGTTTAAACCAGTTATGGATTGGTTTGTGGCATAGATAAATGGTGAACTTATGGCTATATTTTATATATTTACAAGTGTGTGTGTTTTCCTATATGTGAAAAACAAATATATATTATATAAAAATAACGATCATTTTCACATTTGCTTTAGTTTATATAATTGTACACTGATATAATCATCAAAGACCAATATAATCATGCTGAACAGCAGACAATTAATACTTTTAATGGTGAAACAGTTGTAATACTGCTTTAATACCTGTAATTTGCTGAGATCCCTGAAGGCGTCCGGGTGAATCTGAGTTATCTTGTTGTTCTGCAAGTCGATGTCCTTCAGCTGTGAACAGTTTTGAAAATCATTCAGCTCAATCTTTCGTATGCCATTGGATGACAAACGGATGGTTTGTAAAGATGGCAGCAGGCTCAGTCCTAGGAAGAACAAAACTATTTGACATTTCGTGTTCTTGTTTTCCCAGTTGCATCAAGTGGCTTTTAAAAATCTTTGCAAGAAAATTCCTTCTGTTCCTGTCTATTGCAACAAGTGGCTGCAGACTTTGAGTTACCATGCCTTGTCCTGTTCAGTGGCTGTCCCATTCTAAAAGTTGCGTAGCATTGACAGTAAGCATGTTTATACATTCACCATCAATGCAGGTTTTAAAAATTCACATCTCCATAAAAGCAGTAACATTCCCTTGTACTATCAAAGTTATTCTGACTCTGATCTCTGAACTTTGAGCACGCTTCTCTGGAGAACTGGAGGTAGGAAAGGAGGAGTGTGAAAAAAGTGGAATATACTCAGTTTATAAAATCCAAAAACGTTAATTGTAAATAAAAGACAGAGATGGAAAAACTGATACCGTATCTCCTATTCATTGCCATCTGCAAGTTCATGGGAATTTTTCAGGTATGAAATTTTTGAACCGTATTCATAGGATGTAAACTTGACTGAAAACAAAAACATGTTGTTGCTTACGCCCGCCTGCCTGTGAATTATCAAGCTAACAGTACATTCTTCAGCATATCCTAGTTACAACAGCATCTGTCTTCCATAAGTAGCTCTTTTGAATGCTCGTTTTTCTCAGGTGCTGCGCAGGCAGCCCCCAAACCTCCAGCCCGCAAGCTCCAGTGGGAAGGCAGGCGCTTGAACACTCAGCATCACCACAGTTTGTAACGCCCAAATGTCACCCTGAAGTGGTTTTTGATCGTAAAGCATTGTTGTGAAGCTACTGGTTCTCCTTAAAAATTTTGCCCTTGGTGTCATCTGGTTTACTGGAAATGTCTTATTTCAGTTTGCTGTTGGGTTTGCTGAGTAATTGACCTTTGGGTTTATTGTGGAAAGCAGAGAGAATGATTCATTCCTGCTGCCAAACTAGCGGTAGCTGATAACAAAGGCGTTCAGAACGTCTGGCAGTTCATCAATCCTTCCTTGCACCTGCGTGAAGAATTGTAGTTCGGATGCTTCCCTGAAGCTAAATTTGTGCCAGAGCCATACGCTGGTACGGGAGCAGAGGGCAGCAGCCTGACGCCTGGGGTGGCCCTTGTGAGAAGGGTTTCACTGTGGCTGAACCCCTCTGCTTTAGAGCTTCGGTTTGTGTTTGCTTACCAGAGCTTTAAAACTAGAAGGATAGTGAAGTATTTTGGAGGCCAGAAAATAAAGTTCTGAACAAGTATTTAAATGAATGTGGGATTGAAGTACAACTTGGAAGTATGGTGGTATGATGCACAGCAATTTGACTTTTAACATCTAAAAATGGAGGCTCTTAGGGAAAAGGGTTGATCTGTCTGACCCACTGAGGCATTCTGTGATGTGTAGTTATCTATCAAAACAAGTAAAATCTGCACCAATATATTTTATAATGTAAGCTTTTCTACGCTGTCTATATAGCAACCTTACAGATGCTACAAAATAATTAAGCAAAGCTGTTTCCTGCATGCCAGAGAATTATTTAGTATCAAAAAAGGGGCAAAACAGAACTTTGGGGACCCTGTGTAGGTGCAAAATTATTCTCTTTGTCTGACTTCGGGAGGTAAGTGGGGTTTTAGTTTGCCGCCTCCCCCCTCACCCTGTTTCCAAAATCTAGAGCTAATGAATCTGATGATGTTATCAGAGATCAATTACATTCAGCAAACAACACATAGAATAGTGTTGCCTGTTCTCAGCTTCTGCTTCATTAAACAGTCTGGACAATGGGAACCATCTGTTTCTGAGGACAGAGGCCGTCATAAAGGCTGTGATGCCGAGTGCCGTTCAGTGACTGGCGCTTTCTAAAAGCCCGCTGAGAACGTACAGCCCCCTCTCGTTACCAGAACGTGTGACTTTGGCTGGGTGCCAGATGGCAGAGAGCAAAATTGGTCTGAGGACACAAAATGTATTTTCCTGTCTTTGTGAAATACTCATATTGGAGCAAGTTTTATTTAAAAAAACAGTATTGACTTTCTTCTGCAGAGTAATATGAAATTCATTATCCGCAATTTTTTTCATGTCAAGGTTCGTGACAGGGTTGTGGAGGCTGGCGTTTTTCCAAAGACCCTTGCTTCCCTTTCTGTACAAGGAAGAACACTGCTTGGGCTCTCTGAGGATGCATTTGGTTGGTTTTGACTGACGTTTAAGGCATTACGATTGCAAAGCCTGTGTAACAAACCCCAACCTAATCCATAACAACCCATTTGCTTCCGTCTCTCTATTTGCACGCAGGTGGAACTTTCCCTCACCTGAAGCATACCTAAACGAGACAGTCACATTCTGAATCCTGCAAGATCTACTGAATCATATCCAAAACCAACTTACCCCTTGGGAGCGAGGTCCTTAGAGATTTTGAAAGCTTACCTCTTGGAACTATATTAAGATTATTTCTTTCAACTGACAATACTTTCAAAGCGGGCAGGAGATGACGGCCTTTTCCATGCTTTTTAGACCCATGTGCAGGCGCAGGTAAGTCCAGAGTGAGGGTGTGGATAGCATTACCATCGAGGTTTAGTGTTTCTAAAACGGGTAAATTTCTAAAAGTAGTTAAGGAGAGTTCAGAAATCAGGTTGTTACTGAGATTCAGGTGTTTTAGCATCCATTCTTCATTTCTTCCATCAGTGCATACAAATGTTTTAATATTATTGTAACTAAAATCAGCTGTTACTGCTGTTTGTGATACATCTTCTGGAATAGTAGATATTCCGGTAAAAGAACAATTCACTGAGAACTCCCCATCCCACCAGCAGTCTGAATGGTGATGCGTATCAAGAAGAATCCGCTGTGACTTGGTTCCCACTGATCCAGGAAGATTAGAGTAAAGGACCACAGCTATGACACTCAAGTGAAGGTTATCCATAGTATCTATACGTAAAATGTAAAATTATGGTAAATTCAGCATAACAAGAGTTAAACAGAAAGCGGAAATACTTTGACATAGAAAAAAACCAACACCAAATACCCAAAGCATTATCAACCTTTTGTCTCAAACATACAGTTTTGGACTCTTATGTATGTTGCAAAAAGAACATTCATAAACTGGTAACGTCCCCCCTCCCTCCACCTCTCCCAAAAACCAATCCGAACCTTTTCTTTCTTTTCCAGTCCCTCCGTCGAGAAACACAGCCTCTCAGGAACTGGTGAACTAACAGAAGTGGAGACTTTTGAACTCTACTTCAAGTATTATACACAACTGCCACTGAGCAAAGTCCACCAGATATAATTCATGACAAACAGACGTGGAATGATTTTCATAATGAAACAGTAGCTTCCCTGTCAATAACACAACCACGTATTTTTAATGAAAAACTATATTCTTACAAATAACACTTCTGAACCGCAGCTGTGTGTTAGAATTTATTGTTTCATTTCAAAACAAAGATTAGAAATTCAGTCGTCTTTCACCTATTGGAAAAAAACACCACCTTTACATATGCTGAGAACTCTTCACATGTGAGTTGTTTCAACGTGCCCAGTGTGGTATTTTACACAGAGGCATGCAAAATGTACTTTAAACACACAGACTCGTAAGTGCATCCGTGGGAATGAAATAAATAACGTGCCACACAATGGTTTAAATACATACAGAAACACGTACCTTAGGCAGTTAGAAGAGAAACAACAAATAACTGCACAACACAGGGCATGTGTGGTGCCAACATTTCTCAAACTGCGTAGTGAAGGCAACAAAATATATTAACGATACACGAACAGCAGCTGACAAATTAATAATTTATTTCATTTGGTATTTGTATGATCGGTTTTGCTACGTTTTGACAAAAAATCCACACTTCAAACCCAATTCTCCAGACCATGATTTAAGAGTACCTTTGTGACAAATCTTTCAGCTACGTTGCATACAGTATTTTAGACAGAACTCTTGATAATTACAAGACTCCAATACTAGCATACAGGCATGCCAGTACTAACCAAAGAGCATCCATACGCTCTTCGTGTGTAATCTACTTGACTTGAGGCAGTACCTGTCACTTCCAAGATCTATTTCAGCTTCAAGGATGCTGCTGCTGCTTATATTTTTATACATAGGTGTGTATTTATATATATAAAAATAAAGTGACAAACTCCCACTAGCATGAGTGAAAATTCTAAAAATGTTATAGTTTATTTCCTCCTCTTAATTGTAATAGATACTAATCGGGGCACTACTTAGCAGCAAAGATGTGTCCAAGTTTTCAGCAAAATGTGTGTTGAAGTGGTTAATAACTATTAACTGTAGTAAAACTAAAAAGTTCATGAAGGCAGTAAGCAAAATGTTAGTTAGTACCTTCCGTAATCTTTAATGTGAGCAATTCAATGGCTTTTGCAACAAAATCTGGATTTGCCTTAGCGGAATGAGGGAAACGTGACCCCTCAGGCCTCCCCGGTGGCATAAAGCCTGACCTAAGAAGCCCCCTCTAGAAATCACTCCCACCCGCACGCATCCTGCGTGAGGACTTACTGACTTCTAGTAAGTACGGCAAGTGGGACCTTAGCCACAAAGTTCTTGTTGCAGCAGGAGCTGATTTGCGTTTTGTAGAATTCTGTGTACTGAGAGCGCTATAAATGAAGGGCAGAAAGTTCATCTTCCTGTAACAAATGACCAATTCTGAAGTTAGTGTGTAGCATTTGTACAACTTTTCAGAAGAGAAGTGTGTGCTTATCTAGAAAAATGTGTCAAAAAACTACCTGCAAAGTCACCTTTATGGCCTCTGTTATTAAGATTACTTGATGCTTCTGCAAAACGAAACTATTTTGAACTGAAGAAAATACATAGGGAGGGAGGAGAGGGAAACTGATAATGAGCCAGCCTATTTTTAGTACAGAATGTCTTACCTCTGCAAAAGCAGTGACAAGGCTAGAATAGTTTCTGTCAGGTCCCAGTTCACCACAGACACAGTTTCACTGTTGACAAATTCAGATACAGATGTATTTACTCTGCTGTCACAGGATTTGATACCATCATGTGTAGAATTATGGACTTGCAGTTTAACTTCAGAATTTAATTCTGAGGTTGTCAATAACGCATTTCTGGGAAAGAAGAGATCTGATCTCAGACACTGCTGCTTACAGTCATGCTTCAGATTATTACCTGTTGAATAATGAATTCATACGCTGTTCACATTAAAGCATCCAGGAAGATACTTTTTCTGGCTAGTGAGCAAGTCGTAAGAATATCTTTAAGAATGTACTTCTAATAGAAACACATTTTATAAATAACTTCACATAAATTAAGCACCTGTAGAACCCCTAAACTGCACAGACAGAATGGGAGCTCAAGCAACACTTCAATAATCACAAGACTATTTCAAACTTGAAGTTACACTTCCACACTTGGTATTAATTTGCAAATATTACTTGTGCTAGCATAATTTTTTTTTTAACTACATGAGAATATATGGCAGAAATGATGCAGTATTTTAAAGTGAATCTGCCATTACCCCTCTCTTAGCATACATGTGGTAAACCACATAATTTTGGAGGAAATCACTACATCAACCTTGGGCAAGAAATGAAAAGACAAAAATTTGCTGCTTCAGCGATCTTAGGCAAATCCACTTCCAACAACAAACTGATGTTCCTGTTGAAGTACTTCAGATGGCAGTTGTGTTCTCAGCAGCCCTCATGGTCTTGGGATGTAGGACAAAAACCTCCTTTAGAGACAACTGAAGGCAGTCAAGTTTGTTGCTAAGATCACTCTCTTTAAATATATTCTAGTGATCCCAATTCAGGAAGGTACTTCAGTGCGCATGTAGACTGAAAGCTTACTACATTAGTGCCACTATTATGGCTAACAGGATGATGACATAATACTGCTGAACGTAACAGCCTTTGCTTAAAAATATTATGTAATAACTGTTAGTATAAACTGCTGTAAAACCAGAAATCCTCGAAGGCATGCAATTACTTCATACAAATATATGTAAACACCAAAAAGAACTCTCCTGGTAGTGGTTTGTGTTTCAGTGTGTGGCTCCACAGGGATTGACAGACGTCTGACAACCCATGTTATAACCTGTCACCTGCACCTTGAACAGTGTCCCATCCGCACACATGCAGAGCTTGAAACGCAGCCAGTTGCCGTTATTAAACTGTTCCCCGTAAGAAGAACTTGGCAGTCGCGACGGGCTGACCATCACAGTTCCATTCAGGATAATACTGTTTTCCTATTAAGAGGGAGAAAAAAAGTACCACATCTAATTTAAACAAGGCAGGTTGTTTCTGAAAAGGACAAGCTGGTTTAATGAATCAATGACATCTTTAGGATGGCTGTAGAAATCAACAGAATAAAAAAAGTACATATGATGAGGTTTCATTTTTCAATTAAATTTGTGAGTAACGCCATGAATTTCTTAATTACAGCCAGCCAGCAATGTACTTTGCTACCCAGTGGTAGATCAGTACTAACAGAGACAGCAGCAGTGTGGCTTTAGTAAATCTAAAAACATGTATGTGAAATGGGAATCAGTGTTTGAATTCATGGGTGCAATTCATTCACACATTAAAGTGCACATATCCTTATTTTGTATTCTCCTTTAACCTTTTCCATCATTCTATATGCTGTGCAATCTTAACCATGTCCAGAAATCTTCAACGAATGCTGGCCAGTCTTGCTGCGGCAGCACAGAAGGTAGTGCTCCTAACGGTACATCTACTCCTCTGTCAAAGCTTGCTGTCCCCAGTAAAACCTCCAGAAGAGAAGATGAATTCCCTTTGGCATTCATTTCAGTGCAGAGGCCAACTGCTTAGTTTTAATTGCATTGTGAGTTTTTAGTGTCTTAATAGTAATAAATCATTGATACCTGAAAACTACTGAACCACTAATTAACAGTGAAGTGATAATCCACCTTTTAAAAACCTCACTAAATACATTGACCGTAGCTAAAATTTATGTATGACTACTGTATATAAAATTTGAATCCATTTAAAGCTACATCAGTTTACTATCAGCCTGAATTTGAAACTAAGCTGTTCAAAAAATGCTGATTTGAAATACTTACTGCTTTAAGTTCCATGTTGCCCCCCATCCGAAACTCAATGGTCTTGCCTGTGATGAAAACTCCTTCGTTTCCACGGACAATAGCACGGCCATCAACCTTTATGTTTAGATCACTGGTTGCATTGCTGGTAATCTAAGAACGTAACAAAAAAAATGTATTACAGATCAATCAATGAAAATGTGCTGCTTGGGTTTGTCTGAGTAACTTTAATTACCTTAAAAATACTGCCACACACTTTAATAAAAACCTTTGACGCACTTTTTGCCCTTCTCCCATTGTGCCTATGAAACTTCTGCCTATTTCCACATTCACATATGAAAACAAGGATTACTTGATTTTGGAAGGTATGTAACATAGTTTATGCTTGCATATTGTTTGTTTGTGATAAAAACATAATTCATATGACAATTTTATGGGATATAATTAACTGGCAGCAAATATAGGCTTCCTGTTGGGCGTGACTATGTAAAGGCACTCCTCTGTTTTCATTTAATCTGTTCCTCCTGTGTATTTAAAGTTATAGGGTTTTTTTTGTTTTTTTTTTTTTCTCGAGCATACTATTTAATTTTTAGCCTGCAGAGGAAACATAAAGAGCAAACTAAATCCTCTTTTTTGTTTGTCCTTAACAGGATTGCTCAAATGCTTCCTAAGACACACTCAACCCTCTATAAAACCACTGCTACTGCTCTACTAATGTTATACAAAAGAACTAGAGGCCGTACTCTATCTGTACAGCCTTCATTACAAGTGACGATATGCAAGAAAGAAACTTCAATCTGACCTGAAGATCAACATTTAAATGTACACACACTGATATTTAGGTTTTTTAGTTTTCTGATAAAGCATGTTTAATGTAGAAACC